TCAATGTATAAACACCTATGAACTGGCAATAATTAGACGCATGCCATTGATAGTCCGAAATATCTTACTCTCAAGGGTTTTTTTTATGATTGCAAGCGACAGTTTTCGTCAAATGCGAACGAACTGATTAGACAGCTGTGTCCCCATACTCACCCAGCTACTGTGGCTCCCCTTATATAAAAAACACAATTACAAATGCTTGTTTGTTAGGTTTTTGAATATGCACACAGATTCCATTCGTCGTGACAAATATACAAATTGTAACCTAAGGTCCTACTCGATACTATTTTATTTTGGACTAAGATGGCATATTTTGTTGTATCTCGATATACCACTTGGCTCACTCATATTTGGAAGTTGTGACCATCGTTCGTTCGTGCTTGGTGTTTAACGTCTGCTTCCACATAAGTGATATCGCAGACAAGACATAGGAAGCTGATTCCTGTTTTTTAGAATATGATTTTGCAATCTTTCCATTTGGCCTTAGGCCATGGATTTGGTTTAATGGGAAGTTCTTCCCTTTATTTAATATAAAACATATCGTTTGGTAGATGATCTCGTCTGCTTCTGGATTGGTAGATGTCATCGTTTTAGTGTTTAGGTGCCAGGCCCGTCTTATCGTGGCCTCCCCTTACTCCACTATCCCACTCTCTGGGTTTGGTATCAGTTTTATTTGCGGAATAGTGTTTAGGTGCCGAGTTCGTCTGACCGTAACTCCCCCTTACTCCACTATCCTGCTAGTTTGGTAGATGTCATCTTTGTGGGGTTTGTGTTTAGGTGCCAGGCCCGTCTTATCGTGACCTCCCCTTACTCCACTATCCCACTCTGTAGGTTTGGTGTATGTTTTTGGTGGAATAGTGTTTAGATGCCGAGTCCGTCTGATCGTGACTCCCCCTTACTCCACTATCCTGCCAGTTTGATATAAATCCCCTATGTAGTTTAGTGTTTAGATGCCGGGCCCGTCTAACCGTGACCCCCTCTTACTTCACTATTCTACTTAGTCCAACTGTGTCCATTAGGGCGTGGATTTGTTCGAAGATTTGCAGTTTCAGATCTGGTCTCGGGAAGAGTAGGTTCTTAGTGTTGAATGGTATGTTGTTGGTCTCCATTGTTCTCACTAGTTCCCTTCTCTCCTCCTCGTATACCTCGCAGTCTACCAGGACATGGTTGGTGGTACATTCTTCTCCGTACTCACAGATGATGACTTGGTGTTTGTAGTCTCGCAGCCGCTCTTTCACCCTTAGCTTCGATATAAGTCTACAAATATCTCTTCTAGGGTGATTGAGTGTTGTCTTTGTGTAGATCTTGTCATCCAGCCGGAATCTGTATGTGTCAAGTTCAACGAGATTTAGTTGTGACCAACATAATACTAGCTATATATCTATTTCGAATGCGACAAATTAAGAAATGTCAGTTTGCTGATTGTGTACGGCTTTAGGTGGATCCGTGATAGAATGATATTTGGCAAAAAAACCTCATTAATGTGGCACTACGGGTCACCAAATAAACATAACTGTGAGACTATCCTGGACAGATGTGACACTTTCTTCTAGGCCGTTCGTCGACTTCACGTTGTGGGATCAATTATTTCAATCATCGATTAACTGACTCCGGAACACCGTTTATGTTGTTACTAAGTTTATATAATTAAACAAATACAGCAAACTACAAAGTTATCATAGTACCCACGGTCTGAGTTTAACATCCTTTCTAACTCAGACCAGAACGGCTTAAACGTGGCAAGAGCCACATACTTCTTGATAGTTCTACATAAGATAAACCGAGGAGGCTATGGGTATGTTCCCCTTGAGCTCCGAATAATGTCTCCCCTACGATCTCATCATGATATTTGAGGGTAAATCAAACAAGCTTTCTCCTATGGATGAAGTATAATACGTCATTTATTAGGGCGGGAAAATTTATATTTTTGGGTAAGTGTTTCGTATAGGCACCGTTTTACGTCAACACTATTTTAGTTAATTGCACTAATCCGTACACGAGATACTGGGCTATAGTACCCTACTTCCAGCAATGTATACTGACATAACTGTCGGTGAGTTAGTCTAAAATAGTAGTAGAATAATGCAATCTACTTCGTTACCCTAGTTTTCGTCACACATCATGTAGGTAAAGAATTTCTATATTAAACAGAACACCTTTCTTTAAACCAAAATAAACCCTATAGTATTACATTAAAAGATACCTCCGGAACATTATGTGTTCTGGAAAATATGAAATAAAGCAAAGAATTAGGTTTCTTGACTTAACTCTTGTCGCCACCAAAAAGGGTTTAAAGGTTAAGACACTTTCCCGCATTCAAACTATGTGATTTGATGATATATTTTGATTAAAACATATTCAAACTAATTAGTGTATCAAAAACTTCCTTCGCGGGGGACTTTTGTTAGTAGCCATGTTGGGGATCATGGTGGCTAAGTGAGTAAGACGCTGCCTCGCTAGCCAGGAGGTCGGGTGTTCGATCCCTGCATTGACCGAGAATGTTCATCCAGATTTTCCGGCGTGGTTCTCCCTTGTCCGTGTGATGCAGGGCGGGGGGGGGGGCTGACAAGGACAGTTGTCTAGTCGTTCCGTGTACAGATTGGCATGCACGTAAAAGATCCCTTGGCAGTTGGAATTCGATATATGAGTAGGCCATCGTTCCGCTGCCCGTATTCATTAGCCTAGTCAGGAGCAGAACAGTAGGACGTTAAACCCCATTTCATTTCATTGGCGTAAACGTAAAAGATCCCTTGACAGTTGGATTTCGATATAAGAGTAGACCGTAGTGCCGCTGTCAGGGAAAAATTTCCCTCATAGCGCACTGTATGGCGTATGCCCGTCTTCATTAGCCCAGTTCCGAGCAGAACAGTAGGACGTTAAACCCCATTTCATTTGATTACAGAAGCCATGATTGAGGGAGGGTCCATTTTTTCAGAATGTATTTTTCATTACGTAATGTCTATTTATTGAGGCCTAAGTAAGTTCTTAATTTTCTGTCAACTTCTTTTTCCGCCTTTAATTGCAGGGACTTTTGTACGTTGACACCCTTCAATGTTCCCAAAACCGATTAACCATTTGATCAAGAAATAATCACTCCCTCCGTCAGGGTACCATAAAATAAGTCGTCAGGTTGCCAGTTAGTGATACCCTGACATTTTCGCCCAGTGCTTGCCCCATGGGTGTTTTTCGGGCATTCCAGTACTTTACTAGTAAGATTGGGTGTCTGTACTTCCCATATACATCAAATTTGTCATACTTGTATTGGAAATAACCACCCGATAAATGCTTTCGGGAAAATTTATTTTTAAAGGGTAGGACTCTTCGTTCATTAGTAGCGCTTAAAGGTGATATCACAGGCAATGAAGTACACTTCATATAGAAATGAAATGAAATGGGATTTAACGTCTTACTGTTACAATTCATATAAATAGTCAAGACATTGGCCGGAGATCTAATGATAGACGGCTTGTTATTTTATTATTTTGATATGTCGTTTGATTATAGATATAGATCTAGACACAATAGACCAAATCTGCACCGAACCCATACAAGTTTATGTAGCGTGCTTTACGGTAAACAAAGGTGAGTGCGATTAAAAATTACATCAATCATATGCCAAAATTGTTAACAAATAACTTCAATTAAATTTCTTTCTCGTTCAATGATACATTCAAGTTTTAATTTTAGAAGTTAAAAATGTATTATGTAACAGCTAAATCACCCTACTGCACGTCTTTTATTTTGCCTAAAATTTTGTATAAACTATTATTTAGACATTTTTTCACATGGCAAGCGTATAATTACCTCTTTAGAGTATCGGGTGGCAGACATATAAATGGATTAACACGCCAGCGAGATTTTAAACAATAACGATACATTGGATAATTGTGACTTGTCCAGTACCGTTGCTACGATAATAAACAATCAACGCTATATCTTCCAACGCTTATAACGTTATTTGATTTCAGTTTCAATCTATTCATATTTCATTATCTATTTATATATTAACTATTAAAGCACAGACGCCTAGCTCGTATCTAATTCTTTACAAAGATTTTCTATGTACAGATATACTGCATAATAGCTTAGTGAATTTCTGGTATATACCAGAAAAGTAAGAGGCCTTGTTATACGCCAGTGGCCGGAGCTCACTAGAGAAGTCAAGTGGTTTAAATACAAAAGGATTATTAGGAAAATTCCAGAATTTAGTAGTTTAGACACAGTATGCTGTGGGCATATTTCTGACGAATGCGCTACATACATATATTATTATAAATGGAAAACACATTGTGCCTGACAATACAATAACCTTCAATGACTTATTAAATCCACACACATTTCTCAGTATTTTGGATGTTTCTCTAGTCAATGACAAAGTTTTCATGGCGATTACATCACGTAACTCTTAAAGATACATAGTCCCGAAAGTATTGATTGGGTGGTTATTTCCAATAAATTATGGCAAATTTGGATATGGAATGTAAAGACATCCATTCTTACTAGAAAAACGCCGGATTTTCCAAATAACACCCATGGGACAAGCACTGGGCAAAAATGGCCGCCCGACGGCTTATTGTATGCCAGCTTGACTGAGGGAGCGGTATAAGAGACTCTGCAATTAAACGGCGGAAAAAGAGGTTGACAGAATATTTTTCAAGAATTTACTTAGGCCTCAATATGTATGGTCAATGGACAGTAAGTAATGACAAATACATTCTAAAAAATGGACTCTCGCTAAGGCCAGTTAGGTGACAAACATGGCTTCTAAAAACAGATTTTTTTTAAAGCTTGATGTATCGACTCGAGAATACAAGGTTTTGAGAGTGATTTGACGCAAATTTTAATAGGTTTATTAGTTTATTAGTATTTAGTCCTAATATATCATCAAACCACACAGTTTGAACGCGGGAAAGTATATTTAACAAAAAAATATTGAAATGTGGTTTCATTCTCCACTCTAATGTGTATTATAATTGTACAGAATTACTTGAGAAAGAAGCAGCGAGAAGTATGATTTGTCAGTGTACCTATCCGTGTGTTTTAACAGAATACCGAACAGATTCATCATTTTCTTACTTTCCTAACGATGCGGCTAGACAACGACTTGTGGAGTTGGGTGAGGCTCCCAACTTAGAAAATGCTGGGTTGGTATTAATTTTATATTAAATGTAACTTCTTTTACCACCCAATAATACATTCTAGTAGATATCGCTCGTGTGATAAAGTATTGGTCAATGAAAAGGGAACTACTTTATTATAAAGGAACCGCTTTTTAAAAATAAAAGTAACTTCTTTTTTATTAAAAAAACATTATTTTTATTTAATTGATATTGAAGGAAACAATGAGTCAATATATGACTTTGCAATAGCTAAATTCCTGTCAAAAATGTAATGTAATCAGATTATGTGAAAGTGAAATCTATACCAAACAATTATATTTATTTATTTGTACATGTAAGAAAGGGTTGGGTGATAAACAAAGCCTGGGGTTTTTTTTAACCTTATCGTCGTATGTTGATATTTTTTGATATCAAAAAAGACTCGTAGGAGATTCTCTATTTACCACGTAAATTCAGTACATAACGCCTTGGTTCAGAGAAAATTCGTGATATCAAAATTATATATTATCTACATTTAGTTTTATTTTGATTTCGAAGAAAGCAGGGAACTATGACCATGGATTTACCCGTCGTAATTAAGGTAGAATGTTCAAACTTGGTGTAGATGTTGGCTTTCTGAATATCTTGACTTTGTTCGATGATGAACACAATTAACTACTTGATGGATTTCAACCAGATTTTATTATTGGGATATGCTTAAAATAAAGTTGTCTCTGTAAGGATGTTCGACTTTAGACTTTATAGATATGTCCTAAAACTAGGTCGGGTGGGAAGACTTTTAGACAGGACAACCACCTTATTTTCAATCTAAACATTATTTTGCTGGAATGTTTAGTAAAACACGTGTGGAAAATTAAGGTGATTGCCTCCACAGGGTTATACAGGAATGGATTGGAAACTGGACGTTTTCTTTAGCCGATTATATTCACACAAGACATAAATTTTACATATGTCCTAAAACCGGGTCGGATGGGGTGCCGTTTAGCCAGGAAAACCACCTTATTTTCAATCTAAACATTATTTTGCTGGAATGTGTAAAATTAGGTTGATTGGCTCCACGGGGTTATACAGGAGTGGATTGGTAACGAGACATTTTCTTCTTGCCAATTATTTTAACATAAGACATATGAATTATTAACACATTGGAGTCGGTATCGCAATAGAATTGTAGAGATTTTCTTTTAGTCGAAGCTTTTAATGCAATACATAGGCGACGAAAGACTACTTAACCATTTCTTTATTCTGCAGGCGTAACTTTATCAAGTTCAACATTAATTTTAAGGAAATGATCGTTGAAACCATTGAACACAAACCAGAATACAGTACCGATAAGATTTTGGGTGAGTACGGCGAACAAACAAACGTTGAACTACCCTTTTTTATCTAATACGGATACAGCTGAATACGGATAGTTCTGGACAGCCATATTCTATGCGGTACTAAACAAATATATTTCAGATAGGTTGCAATTGGGTAACGACATTTAGGAGACCACGGTCACCAAATCGCCCACTTTTCCACAGAAAGGCCCAGACTATTGATTCATTATTTATAGACTGCTCTTGGAATACGAGGAGGTCGAATCCCATTGAACTCAAACTCGAAAACCCGTTATTGCATAGGTAGTAATCCCCAAGACCGTATACAAAACTATAGTTGTTTGAGCCAGGGCGCAGTTTGAGTGGTATCAACTGGTTACACATATTGATGTTGACGTTGATAAAGGGCCAAACATGGATAATCGAGACTTTGTTTTTGATCGTACCGACTTTAGTAATGATGATCGAGGCCAGCCTACAATTCAAAAGCTAATATCTCGGTTCAGAGTGGAGGGGTTCGACTAAAATTTTCTGCATATTCTATTTACGTTATCATTTTTTTAAAAACTATTATTGCGAGAACTGTCAACTCTTAATCTAATCCCCCATACTGCCACTGTAATGGAGTTTTAACTTTCTATTTTTTTTGCAGGTACTGTTGGTGGCTATCTTGGGCTTTGTTTGGGAGCTAGTCTCATTTCAGTTGCCGAAGTCATGGAAACTGTTATAACCAAATCCTGGTTTTTACTAAAACAATTTGTAACCTTCAAAACGAAAACAACCAAAGTTCAAACTTTTCAATCATCATAATTTTGTTTTTGATCTAATCTTTTCTCTTTAATTAGAGGGAATATTGCTTTGGAACAACATTGGCATTTATTGTTGAGTTGAATACAGTATATCAAAATTCATTGGGATTGGACCAAGAAGACACGATTTTTTGATAAATCTGGATTAATCAAATTCTCTTTATGTACTGAATGAAGGTAATGATAAGTCAAGGAACATCAGCTTCCTTTCCAATTCAAAACTAATTTTACAGGAATAGTGTTAATCCGTTTGCAAATAGAAAAGCCTTTGCATATATCTAAGTCACAGATTAGAGATGTGGCTAGCTAATCTATCCATAGAAATACAATACCAAATCATATTTAAATACAATTTTACATAACCCATTATACATGATCAAATGATTGTTTGTTACGTTTTTACACTGTTATCATGAATGAAATTATAAGAAAATAATGATGGATGTGAAAGCTACATTTGACATATTAAGAAGACTGTTATTAGGCAATCAAACATGACATGCACAATTAGTATGCATCCGCATTGGAAATTTACATTATTGGTTGAATATTTAGTCCCCATTGCTATGTTGTATAATTTAGTTCTAAATGCTTACGCGTTGAGGGGGGTTGGATGGCTGAATGGTTAGCACGTGCGTGCTGTATCATAAAGTCTGTTATTGAGTCAACTGGCGGGGTTTCGAATCCCCGGTTGTACGTGACAAGGAGTAGGGTCGCCTGTCCAACTTCGTGGGTTTTCTCCGGGTCCTCCGGTTTCCTCCCACTGCTAAAGACCCCTACGCGCATGCGAATTATGGAAATAAAATTGAACCATATGTTAGTCCCGAAATGACCTAGTTTGTGTCGAGTGGACGTTAAACTCCATTTCTCTCTCTCTCTCTCTCTTACGCGTTGACAGTTTTTGCTTAAATAACAAAATTTATAGTTTTCTTGAATAATTAACCCCAAATTGTTTGCTTATTGTTTAGTACCAATTAAATTGAACTTTTATTCAGGTGTTTCTGCTATATTTGTACCGAATATATGTTTTGTTTTAAAAAAACGTGTTTCGTGAATAATGTTACAGCAGCACTATTCTTTCTGACAACACGAATCCATAATACACAACCTAATTGATCAATATGATAGCATATTCGATTTTGTCAAAATGTTTGCTGAACATGTCCATTGTCCATCCAGTACCCGTCTTGAGCAAGAGACTGACAAAAATACTTTTGAGGTTCATTAGTATTGGTAATATCAATGTTTGGTATTCTGTGTATATTTTTTTATATTTAGCAGACCAGGCCCCGAGTTCACAAAGAAAAAAAATTCTCAGTTAATATTTCTGCTCAAAGTTGAGAATAATTCTCAACTTTGGTGTTCACAAAAGCATTTGAGCAAATTCTTAAGTATATAAAATTTTACTCAACTTGAGTATTCCATTAACTGGCGTCATGGATTCCGTAAATCGCGTGCTGTAATTTCGTCATGTTATTTGTTTTCTATGCTACAAGCGACTGGAGTCGACTCTATTTATTAACCAATGAAATCGCTAGGAATGAAAACTATTTTTAGATACCGGTGTTTTACGTGGTAGAACGCCTTAATATTAGCGGTTTTCAATAAGAAATGAATGGAATTGTAGAAATAACTTTATTATTATTATTTTACTTTATTTCCACTTGTCATTGAATAAATATTTATGAAAAAAATCGATTGAATTGTTGTTTTTATTCAATGAAAACTCCACTGAAAATGCTGCTTATAATTGGGTCAAGTGACCAATGACATTCGCAGTTTCGAAAAATGTAAACAAACCAATTCCAACGTCGTCTGCTACGCTTGGCACCAACTAAAAATGGAAGGCGATGGCAGGAAGAGGGCGGCTAATTGGTCAAACGCAGAGGAGATGGTTTTAATCGAGGAGTGTACAAAAAGGGAGGAGACTTTATTTGGGAAAATAAAGGGGTGTGGTGCATTGGGGAAAATTTCAAAACTGAAAGAAAATGGGTGGCAAGAGGTGGTTGATGCTCTGAATTCGTAAGTTTAGCTTCTAATAATTTAGACTAGGCTAGTGCATACAGCTAGATATATATCGGCACTCTTTTATTCACAAAAATAAAATCAATATTAAAAGTTCAACAATTTTAATCTTTATTAAAACGGTGATACTGACATACAATAATAAACCGAACACTAATAATAGTAGTGATAGAAATTATTATTAGATAAATATCACATTCACAGTCAAAATAGGCCTATAAATTACAATTTAGAAGTGTAACTAAATCTACCATTTAAATATTGTTTACTATTTCAGACAATTTATAACAAAAAAGAGGGAAATAGTAGAGGTAAAGAAGAAGTATCATAATATAAAACAAAGAAGTATGTCTAACTAACATTATGTTTCAGATTTAGATAAGGAGTTGACAGTTAAAAAAATAGATTTAAAACTATATAAAAAAATAAAAATGGAAAATCTTGAAAATTTCAGCCAAATCAATTCATGCCCCCTTAAAGCGTCAATGTAATGAAATTATTGTAGATTTAAAAATCATAAATATTTATAAATAATTGTACTATTATTAGCATAAATCTCCATTAAAATATCAGTCACTGAAAATTTATATTTTAACTTTTCAAGGTAAAGAAAAACTCGACCAGATGAAAAGGCCCAAAACAGGTGGGGGACCGAATCAAAGCTATACTGATGCTGAAGACCTACTTCTAAATACAATGGAGGGCAGACCCGAAATTGAAGGCCTTTCATTTGGTATTGATACAGATGGTAACTACTACAAATTACATACTAAAGTAATAATTAATCAATAGCTATATATATGTTATACTAGACACTTAAAACTTTAAAATAATCAGTAAACCCACAATAAAATATATTTTCCTATTTAGATCTACAGATACTACCACCGACACTACCACTTACATATCCTATAGAAATATTATTTGAAGGTAAAGTATAGAATTAATTATTGATCTATAATACATTCAATATACAAATTACACATAATGGAAAACTATTTAAATATCACTTAATTGATTAATTTCATACATAGAATTTATTTTATTACCTAATAGATCATAAACCCTTATTCAAATTATTTACAGAACAAGCTACTGGTACATTTAAGGAAGATTCGGCAGATAAAACTAGTACGATAATGACACCAACACCAAAAAGGCAAAAAGGTACAATTCCTAATGCGTCAATTTACATGTCATGATAATTTCATAAAAAATAAAGACAAATACTATAATGTACCTTTATCTTTTACAGTTTGTAAAGGGTTAACACAGCTAGAAGAAGAAAACATAAGATTAGATAATGAAAGAATAAAATTAGAGATAGAAAAATTGAAACAACAAAGGAGAAATTTGGAAATAGAATATGAAATTCTGTGTATAAAAAGAAATAAATTAAATGAATGAAACAGTATCAATGCATTTGTTTTTATTAACAAGGCTTTTTATTCCGTTGACATAATTTGTGATTTTCTCTACTTCATTATGGCTGTATAAGAAGTTCGCCTCAACTAGCTGCCATTTACATGACATGTATATATGTCCCTTAATAAGTACATGTATAAATTATTATTCTAAAAATTACTGACTGTTATAAAAGTTTTAAATGAAACAGATTAAGCTTTCACCCCACTGAAATTTGTTGTAAGTACATGTCATGTACAATTGTTAATCTTTTAGAGGCATTTAGTAACTGGATAGAGTAATAAACTTTAACACATATTCATGGAAAGTAAAATTACTAATATAATATTTGAAGAGTATTCTCTAAAGATTATCAAGGAAATGCAGGAATACATAAGTAGATATTACATTTAATATGTACACCTATACTGAAACAATTATGAAAAAAATTTGGTAGCAATTTTATTACGTTTTTTTACTCCATCCAGTGTTATTATGCGGTTATAACTGGCAACAGCCTCATCACTTCCGTCATAATCTAAATCTAAAAAATCAACATCTGTAACTAAAACATCCCCCCCTACCTATCCCAAGATTATGTAAAATTACACACGCAGTTATGTAAATGACAGCTTGCTGAGGAGAACTTCTTATGCCATAATGCAGTAGAGCAAATCTTCTTTTTAAAATTCCAAATGTTTGTTCAATTAAAACTCTTGTTCTGCATAAGCTGGTGTTAAAATTTTCTTCATGTCTGTTTGTTGGGTTTAAAAAAGGTGTCATTAAATAGGTCAAACATGGATATCCAGAATCCCCAAGCAATAGACCATTGTGAATACCTACAAAATAAATTTTTAAAATATAAATTAATATGACAGACAGATGATAGTTTACATGCGTCATGCTGATTTTTTTTTTTAATTTCAAGGTCATCTACATGGGGAAATAAAAATCAATTTTAGCATGAACTGGGGTTTAATGGCTTATTTTCTTCTCCACAGGCCAAATGCAAATGTGCATGTCCCATACAGTGAGCCTTGAGGAAAATATTGCATGCACAAATGAGGTATTCTTTTGTGATTTCCTACTGTTGTTAGTGACGGGTCCTTTAAACAAGAGAGATATTGTGTCCCAAAAAGTGTGACGGATGGACAGACGAACCCATTTTAATACTCCCCTGCTTTTTCGAAATAATGTACGCTGACAATTTTATGTATGGGGGTCCTCGGTTTATCAGATAAACCAAACAACTACACACTTGCAATATAGACAAGAGGCCAATGCTAGGCTTGTTAGCGAGCCGGAAGCACACTGTCTATATACAGTCCATGCTAACACAAAATTTAAAGGCCGCATGACTCTATTTTTTGGAACCTTGAAATAGACAAAAATGGTTCTAAAAGCTCATATTAATGTAATATGAATGTATTTAAAATTTATAGTGATTTATATTCAATTTTTGAAGAAAATATATTGTAATTTATAATCAATTATGTTCGATGAAATACTTGAACTGTTCAAATTGAAATGCAGTCGTTTACGTCTGCTTAGTGCATTCTACACATTTTTTTTTTTTGAATCGGCCTTTCTTCACTAATTACTTCAACATTTTGTTGTACGATATGTTTTTATTAGTTCATAACAAAATGGCAACCGAAACCATTGGGTACATGACTCGTGTACTGATTATAAAATGTTAATTGTGTCTTAAATATTGGATATTAGGGTCCTATAGTTTCACAGCAAGATAACAACATCAATAATGATTGAAATTGATCAATATTGAATTCTAATTTGTGTTTTTAATTTCGAATATTATGGAAAGTATTAAGTTAGAGACTTAGCTCCTTTACAGGTAATACATTTTACTGTAGGTATCAGGCACTGTGATATTATTTCTTAGAAGTTATTATGTTTGCCAACCCTGCTGAAAGTCAATAACATAAATACAAAATATACATGTACATACCATTTTGAAATTGGTTATTCAATTCACACTGACGCCAAATCCTGCTGTCGTGAACTGATCTGGGCCAGTTAGCACACAACGAAGTTATTCTAAATTTGGGGTCACAAATCATCTATAAAAATAAAGTCACACTGTAGATTTTATGATCTAATACATTAATCATATTTCAAACTTGCTTAAATTAAATTCAAAAGTAATTATACAGGCATGATGCCAGGGCTAAATGCATATTGCATATCTTTCTTTTGGGCATTAAATGCTACATATAAATACATTAACATGACAAGACCATAATCAACTCTTGATGCCAACAGATGGATTCAATTCTAAGTAAGTAGATACTAGATTAGAATAGTTTGACCATTTAATGATATAATTAAAAACTGGAGAAATGATGCCAATACTTGAGTAACAAGTGGTTACTATCAATACTATTTCTAAAAATTATTAGCATTTATTTCTATATGATGCTCATCGGTACCTGTACATTGAGGGCATGTACTCCTTTTCTGTTGACAAAATCATTTTCATTTTTATTAGGTGTGGCAATTTTAATTTGAGTTCCGTCAACACAGCCAAGTACTTTCGGGAATCCTGAAAAACAAAGTTATAGACCTACTTGAATTATTGTTGTTTTCACTTTATTATTTATAATAAATAGATTATAATTTGTCGTGGTTTGCTTGAAATAAAATAAACTGTTCACAGATGAAGGCACGAATATGAACATTTTCTACTTGCAGTTTCACATTGTTAGTCTAGACTCTAATATTAGATTAGTAATATCTACAAAATGTCATGATTACTGACAGATTACGCAAATAATACATGAAAAGAGTTTGTATTTTGTAACAATCTATTTGAACATAATTGTATGTGTCATTGTGTAGTAGATTTATCAAAACATTTATCGTAAAATTCAGCGGTGTCAACAATCAAACATCGATAAACAAGCCTCTCGGTCGAATATGTCACACAACCAATGAAGGCCTTCGTTTGGTAGCGCTGTGGTATTTACAGTCCAGTTCACTGCAGACGAGGGTAAGTTGGGTGATTTAGCAATGGACTTGTCGGTGATGATATTTTTAGATTGCGGGTTATTATATATAATTGCGGCGGAGACGTGAAGGGGACACAAGACAAATGGTAAACACAGTGTACGTACCTGCAATTTTTCTGAACCCTTCCATAACACGCTTAGCATCTTCTCCGACGGGAAACTTTATCAAATGGATCAGATTCCGAATGATGGCCGAACAAACCCTCCGGATGCATCGGAAGGTTGTGGGGCGGGACACTCTCAGAGTGTCCGCAACCAATAACTGGAAAGCACCCGTTGCCAAAAACCTCAGGCAAATCAATACTTGCAGTTGCACCATAGGCAAAATAGCACAACTTCGCCTTGTGGGGGATTTAATACTTTCCCTTACCTGTTCTTCTATGAAAAGGATAGACCCCCGACGAAACCGAAAACGTTCAAAAAGCTCGTCATCCTCTAAACGGTTTAAGGGGTCATCCCTTTCATAGAAGACTCGAGGCCTAGGGAGTTGGCGTCGTCTCAAGCGTCTAAATCGTCGTACGGCGGCCATTCTACTTTAGACTTAAGTACGCTTAGCAGCTTTCTCAAATATTTAAGAAATTTCTCAAATATTTGAGAACTTTCTCAACTTTGAGAACAAAAATGTTCTCAAATTGTTTTGTGAACTCCATTTATTTTGAGAATTTTCGATTTGAGAAAATTCTCAAAATTGAGCATAGATTTGTACTTAAGTATGCTTTGTGAACTCGGGGCCAGACTTGATTCATTTTTAATGAACATTTTATTCGGGCATTTGCTCTGTGTATTGAAGTAAATAGGATTTTCCATTGTAACACCCGCCCCACCGACGATCGGAATGACAGTTGACTGCTGTGGTGAGAACAGAATAATAAAGAAAATCGTTGGAAAGCAACGGGGTTCTTTCTTTCAATAAGACAAACAAAAAATAGATCGGTGAAGAATTATTGGAGCATATAGGCAGTGCAACTTAGATTTCTTAATCAAGGGACATAACTCTGGAAAATAGTTGAATTCTACCTTTCAATAGTATAGACAACAAATATAATTTGCAGGAAGATACATGTATTATTAGTGGCCTATAAAGTTCTAAAAACATTTTGTAACCATGGGGCATAACCCTGAGTGTAATAATCGAAAAATGTTGAAAATCAACAAGCCTAAAGACCACCCATTTCAATTTCAAGAAAATGCATGGATTATAGTAGCCTATATATTGTGTCAATAAGACATATGAAAGACAAACGACCTATCAACAGCAACGGCAATATACGACCACAGATATATTGACCACCCCATGCTTTATTTGACACCCCCACATAGTTTTTGCCATTTGTTTTCTGATTATACAAGATCAATCCTACTTAAAGCACGTGAAACTGGTGTGAATTATAACAACAAGGACCACGTGGACAGGTGGCTACAATATGTTGATTGACTTCGAGTGGGGGTGTAACGTCCACTCGCCCCAAATGGTTCAATTTTCAAGTAGGGGTCCTTCCTTAGCATGGGAAAGAAACCTTAGCATCCTCGGAATCGAAACTTATTTATAGACCTTATGATTTAAAGTACACACTTAAAGGAAACCAATACTCCGTTGATAGACGACATCCGCTAAATAGCCTGGTTATCAAATGGTCAGCTCGAAGAACTACGCCCCCCCCCCACCACAACTATCTGTAGTCCGATTTATTTTGTAATGGGCATTTAGTGAAAGCGATATATAATAATATAGGGACCATCTCTGTCTAATAATCAGTCTCTACGGGGACTGGAACCTAAAGTAAGAATAACTGACAAGGCTTAATCAGTTTTATAGTTAGTAAATGCAATTCAAAATATGAATAATAATAATACGTTAAGTATTACAAAATAATATTGAATATGGAAATACGTTATGAAATCAAGTTAAAATGAAAATACATGTAACAAATATCATTAATTATACTTAGAAACTTAAATTTATCACCCAATAATACATTCTACAGTAGATATCGCTTGTGTGATATATTTCATAATCCTTAGGAGATATCGCTTTACATGAATTTGATTGGTCAGTTGAAAAGGAACTACTTTTTTTATTTTCAAAGAACAGTTGATTTCTTATTAAAAGTAACTTTTTTTTTTATTAAAAATGAACTATTGTTATCTACGGAGCCCCTTACGTGCACGATTCCACTCTTATATAATTTTTTCGGGCATGATTCCACACTTATATAATTATTTCGTTTAAACGAAATACTAATTCGTTATAACGAAATACTAATTCGTTATAACGAAATACTAATTCGTTATAACGAAATACTAATTCGTTATAACGAAATACTAATTCGTTATAACGAAATACTAATTCGTTATAACGAAATATTCGTTTAAACGAAATAATTAATTCGTTATAACGAAATATATAATTCTTTTAAACGAAATATTATTCGTTAATACGAAATATTATTTCGTTAATACGAAATATTAATTCGTTAATACGAAATATTATTTCGTTTAAACGAATTATTTATTTCGTTTAAACGAATTAGTTATTTCGTTTAAACGAATTAATTGTTTCGTTTAAACGAATTAATTGTTTCGTTATAACGAATTAATTATTTCGTTACAACGAAATTAATTATTTCGTTTAAACGAATGCCCTTGTTTTGAAATGAGTCTCGCTTAACCAGTCTACCGACTATTCTCCGTCTGATTGACAGACCGGGAATGAAATTAAATGGGGTTTAACGTCCTACTGTTCTGCTCCTATACTGGGCTAATGAAGACGGGCATACGCCATACAGTGTGCTATGATGGAAATTTTGCCCGGTCAGCGGCACTATCGCCTACTCTTATATCGAATTGCAAGTGCCAAGGGATCTTTTACGTGCATTCCAATGTATACACGGGACCTCGGTTTTTCGTCTCATCCGAAGGACTAGACAGCTGTCCTTGTCAGGCCCTCCGTTCTGCACCACTGACAAGGGGAAACCACGTCGGAAAATCCAGATGAACTTTCTCGGCCAATGCAGGGATCGAACACCCGACCTCCAGGCTAGCGAGCCAGCGTCTTAACCAACCAGCCACCGTGGCTCCAAATAAAATAAGATACTGTTTATAAACCAATACAAACACAAAACCCCAAAAAACTCTGTTCAACTGGAGTGTTTTATATTACTTAAATATTATCAGAATAATTTACTTTTGTACGTAAAATATTTTATATATCTTTAGAGAAAAAAATAGCCTAATACTTCTCTCAAAAATATGGAGAACGAATATTGCAAAAAAGGAGTATTAGGGCAAATGCACGACAAAGTAGCCTATTTATTCATCTGAAACATATCTAGAATAATTTGCTTTTATACGTAAAATATTTTATTAGTTTTGATAAAAAAAATGTCATGTCTGAAGGATTATGAAAAGGTTGAGATTTTACATGTCCCCAATGAGCCACCATATAGTAAACAGCGTTGCAATTATGACTCCCTTTTAACCCGTTGTGATAAGTCATAATTCTAACTCTCATTATGGTAACAGGTGGCACTATTTACAATACGGTGGCCCATTGAGGACACGTGAAATTGTGCCTTTTATTATAACCCAAAAACACATTTTTTCTTTCAAACATAGCTACAAAAGTAAATCAATCTCGACAATTTTGAAAGAAATTTAGCCTATTCGAGATCTTTATCATATACACATAAATTTTAAAGTTTTAAAAGACATCGAATAAAAATTGTGATCTCTAGAGGATCCACAAGCTATGTGTGCGACTTTCGTACGATTAGGAGCTATAATCCAAAATGTTATCGTGAGATAAGTGCAAAAATCGAACCCATCCGAGATCTTTGGGATATCATCATATAGTTTAGGTTTCAGCAAAGTCGGATAAGAAATTGTGACCCGTAGACACACGTATTTATACCACCCAATGTTGACAAATCAGTTTTAAGGTTATGTACCTTTGCAGTCCTGTCAAGTATCATTGGTATAAATTTATTGGTTCAAAATTCATAGACATGGAAATATTAAAATATAAGAAGGGAGGGGTGATGACAATTACCCTGGAACCACTCAACGGGAGTATAATATTAAACTTTGAGAGGATGTAAAATACCAATTTAAGATTCGTTTAGTTATGACACCAAGCTATAGAATGAGATCAATAAGGGCGATGAATCGTTCGCCCAATCCCCAAAGAGTCCTCCTCCTTCCAAACACAAAACCGGTGATTTGGAACTGAACTAAAGTTTAACGTCCTGCTGTTATGCGCCGCCTATGCTAATGAAGTCGGGCACACGCCATGGAGTGTGAATGTCAGGGGATTTTGTACGGACAGGGGCGCTATGGACTACTCCGGGTGCACGCCATTGGGTTTTCGTCCCATTAAGACTGTTCCTAGTCAGGCACTGAGAGGTGGAAAGCACGCCTGAAAAACCCGAGGAACTGTCTCTTCCAAATGCCGGAGCGAACCCGAGACCTCCTGGTTACCGAGCCAGTGACTTACTCACCGAGACACCGCGGCTCCCGATGATTTGGAAGCCTGGCCCGATATAGATTACTTCAATGATATCGAAAATACCCTAATTGTGTGCATAAAATATTTCATAATTTTGAAGGGAAGAGATAAGCTAAACTAGGCATTACCGAATTATATTTATTTAGTCACTTTCATGCATGACGTAATGAGTTCTTGTTTTATATTATTCTTTTAGAAAACAAATACGCCAAAACAATCGATAGTGCATTATTTGTGAAAATGCACGATAAAATAGTCTATTTATTTATCAAATAAAATATCCAAAATAATTTGCTTTTGTACGTATAATATTTTATTATTTTTGACAGAAAAATATCGTCATGTCTGTCGGATTGTTGAAGGGCGTGATTTTACATGTTCCCAATAAGCCACCATACATTGTAAACAGCTTTAGAATTATAGCGCCTTTACCGCGAAACATTTGTAAAATGTCAAAATGTTAACGAAGCTAAACTGACTACAATAGATTAAGAGTATAATGGAAATAAAACAGAATACATAATTCTAAATGCAATATTTAAAAAATAAGTCATATAAATTAGTATTTTTAAATGTGTAAATAGCCAATTTAACATGTGTTAGTAAGAAGTTACATGCATAGAAGTAAGCTTATTAGTATACGCATTACTAGCTTAGGAATTAGAATTATGAGGGAAATGCCGCTCCATACACCCCCCCCCCCCAAGTATCATCTTGACTAATTTTATGATTGAAAAAAAAGTCTGAATCGTTTCTGTCTCTCACATGTATACATATAAAATCTATTAGTGTTTTTTCCCTGCAGAGTAATTTGGTTCCTCGTCGTTGCTGTTGGATTTGGTGGCCTGGGTTATACCTCCATAGATTTGATTGTAGCAATATATCAACGTAATGTTCAAACAGTTTTTAGACAGAACTACAAAAACAAGATCGAATTTCCAGCGATTACAATATGCAATCATTGTCCTTATGATCAATCCAAATTAAATTCATCAGATGACTTTAAAGATCTCACGTGGGCACATACCGAATGGAAGGTTCTAATAGGTCAACCAGTGGGTAATATTTCACAGAGCTTTAGAGATTTGGATACCATCATGGAAAAAGCCGGTATAGGTATGACTGAATTATTCAAACAAGTTCGATGGAACGGGGAAGAGCAAGATGTTTTATCGACTTTTGACACCGTTTCCACTACAGGTCACGGAAACTGTTTTATTTTTAACGGAGCAAAAGCACGAGAACGGAATAAAAGTTACATTACTACTGCCAGTGGAATCGGAGCAGGGTTGGAGATTATTGCTGATGTACGACAAGATTCTCGTACTAGTGGATTTCATCAGTCAGCTAGATTAAAGGTAAGCTTTCTAGTAGACAAGTAGTTAATCAAGAAACACCGAATCAATTGATTACACAATTCGATAATAACTACATGTTAACGCCCAATTCAGCTTCTTCATAACAAATTTTATTAGAAAAGGCGACGTGGATCTCTTGACCGTAGATCGACCATCGACAATTTGTCTTGCCCGTCACTGGTCGACGGCAGATTCGTCTTGTGTCACTGGCCATCTCTCGACCACCGACACTTTCCCCAGCATGTCTTATGCAGATTTCCTTTGTACATCACCGGGCGACGCCCGATATCTGTTGATGACAACACTGCATCGTAAATCGTTCCCGCGACGAAAGCGCAATCCCAGAACCGATACCACATTGACGAGATATCTGTTGACGACACTGTATTCTCCAAGAAAAAAAATGGTTTAAAAAGTTTGTAACGGACGTTATAAATTCCGTCCAAAAAACCTGATTTTTTATTGCATTGACAGAGTGGCTCACCACCTGTATCTATATGTATGTTTATGTTACAAATGAAGAGGCATACTTGAGTGATATGATGTAAGTATTTCTGTTGATCTAGAGACGTTTGAGAAGAAACTATTCGCATTTTCAATCGTCCAGTCGGGATTCCGTCAAAGAATCACGTCCGTTATTTGCGTTTATGATGATTGATATTTCCCTTCCAGTTTTAAATCCATGGCTCTTCCGCGGTTATTAGCTCCCTTGTTCTACACACTGTTCGTATACCCCACGATTTTGCGGGTAATTAAGAATGGCCGACGCGGGGACCCGATAAGGAAATTCCGTCCTCAAACTTTTGTTGTCGTCACCTCCATTATGTCAAAATCGCGTCCGTTATAATATTACAAGAATTTGACAAAAACTGAGGATATTAGAGATGCCAAAGCCGCCCGTTTTGTGCCCAAAATCAAGAGCCGTTCCACACATTCGGGTAATCGAAATACATGAAAGAATCACGCAAATTTGATTGATAACAGTTGACCTTCGGTTTTACGTGTAACGGATGTGATGGTGGACGAAATTGATAATGTCAAACATCACTACCGTTACACAAAGAAGCTAAGATAACCTAAAGAAAATTAAGAGTCTTTATTTAATTACATAAAATTACATAGATTGCCTTCTTTTTTAAATGTCCTTAAACTAAGAATGGAAAAGATCGTTAAACAACGACATTGTACTCAGATACACCTCGCACTTTTAATTGGGTCAATAGTAACGTCTGTTACAAAAGGTCACATCCGTTACATAGTAGGGAGTCACGTCCGTTACAAATATTTTGTATAATATTGACAAAACAGTACAGAGCAGTAAAATTTAATAATAAAATAATCATTGATCAAATATTGTAAAATATCGGCTAAGAATAACAATGAAATCATGCCCAATAAAGAGTGTAGAAGAGTTATCAGTTTGGAAATTTCACACTGTTTTAAAACCAGATGTCCAGGAAAGATCCTTGCCAATATCTTGGGGTAACAGGGCGCAAAATTATCTTTACATTCAAAATTGTAGCTTTTGATATTATCACACTGCAAATCAACTGGGCCGGTATTTATTAGCAAATTTGGGGCAAATATTAATTGGACATGTAACGTCTGTTACAAGCTCGCATGTACAGTTTGGGTGGGGTTTATTCTTTATTTTTAATGAATAACCTGTCTATACAATGTACCTATTCGTGCATCAGCAACTGAACCGGTAACCGTTTTGTATATAACCATAATCTAGATTTGAGATATATGTTGGTTGATTTTGTTATTAAATTCATTATTTACCCAATATCTAGACTCTGTTGTTTCTTTGGTAAAACCTAGTACTGGAACGAACCCGAATATAATCGGAGCACCCGCCAAGAAGGGAAGCCTGGGCGGAACGCAACAGAGCAATCAAACTAATTATCTATACTTAGTCCAAGCATAAAATGTTCACGATCAAACTCAATGAAGGTTTTGAAGTAGCTGGTAGTGAAACTATACACTAAGTTTTATCACTTTCCATCAGTTAGTATCAAAGTTATCTTGTCCCAAAGCATCGACCAATGAAATTGTTTAGCTCTACTTAGCGGTAATGGGAAATGCTCATCTTCGAACTCTATCAAGGCATTCATTCACTTACCCCAAGTTTGAACATTCTAGCTCTGTGTTATTGTGTCCCAAAAAGTGTGACGGACAGACGGACGGACGGACGGACCCATTTTAAAAATCCCCTGCATGTACAATCATGACATTAAGATGTGTTTTGTGGCCCATATTAATTCCCCTAATTAAATATTGACCTATACGTCAACAAAAATTGGAATGTCAATGAGAGAAATTTAACGAAGGACAGAAATTATTAATAAAGAAATGCGACTATATTTAATGACATATAATTCCTGGTTGTCTCGTTTTTTTTAAAATGTAGTGTTAACATTTTTCCCATTCATAGAAATATGTATTTAGATATTTTATTAGATTAACAATTTTTATTAGGACCCTTCAGCAATTCATCCTTGAAGGAATACATCTTGAATTGCATCTGTCTGGGACCTGATTGTTTTCACTTCAAACTTGTCCTCAGACATCAACAAAGAAATCATTGAACGGAAGATGTCACCAAAGGGTGTCCTATTTAATAACACGATCCACCACTGAGTTATTAGTTATTTACAGGAATTCTAATCCCTCATAAGTAATCATATGGCTTAAAGGGCTTTGGTTGTCCCATCACTTAATAGTTATTCTGCCGGATAAATTTATACTACATAAACATTTATAGAAGATGTCTGCTGAAAATGAACACATAATAAAAGTCGTTCTATAAATTTTATATCTCATTCCAAATGGAAATATCGCTGACAAGGTCTTCCAGTGTTAAATATATTGAGGAAATAGTATTGACTATTTTGAATATATACGAAACCAACAAAATGCTTACAATGTTATATAAAATGAAAATAAAAAAAATAGCACAGTGACAACAATATACACAAAATATACATCTATTGTTTGAGGATGCATTCAGAAAATTATATATATAATATGAAAAGTTGAAGATAACTACTTTTAGGTATTAGATACACAAAAATATAAAAGTTTTTGAAAAAAAAGAACTACATTATTTCTCGATTACTAGCACTTTCGCTTATTTTATTAGGCTCTTCAGATAATCAACATTTTTGTAATACAGTCACAGTGATTATGACGTCAAGGCGTCATCATAGTAACACAGTTGTACAAAGAGGGAACATAACTTTAATATCAAATCAGACAACAATAACTAGGCCTATATGCAATGGGGGGGGGGGGGTTGATGGCCGAATGGTTAGCACGCGCGCACTGTATCATACGGTCTGTCATTCTGTCATTGAGTCAACTGGCGGGGTTTCGATTCCCCGGTTATACGTGACAAGGAGTAGGTCGCCTGTCCAACCTCGTGGGTTTTCTCCGGGTCCTATGGTTTCCTCCCAATGCTAAAGACCCCTACGCGCAAGCGAATTATTGAAATAAAATTGAACCATATGTGTTAGTCCCGAAATGACCTAGTTTGTGTCGAATTGACGTTAAACCCCATTTCTCTCTCTCTATACATTGGAAAAACTATAAGTATGCTAAAGACAAGGATGAACCTCTATCGACATCATATACTCAATCCACATAAAAGGATGATCCCCTTTAGTGGACATATAGATGTTTGTGGTGGTTGCAAATTTAGTGTTTTTCCGATGTACAAGCTAAAAAGCAATAATAATGATTTATTAGAAGCCAAAGAGACATATTCTATTGACAAATATCGGCCAGCTTTAAATGCAAAATTGTAGTATTTTGTGTATAATGTTGTCAATATATATATAAAAAATGTATAAGAACTGACAATCCCATTGAAAAAGGGCTAAAAAAAACTTTCACTATCCTTTCTTCAATTTTCCTTTTTATCTTTGACCGAAGCCTCGATGGCCTCCGGTGCCGCGATCCGACACACGACAGAGGCTTTAGTTGGTTCTTTTTTGCGGCCTTCGCAAGATCCATTACGCCCACTTAATTCACTGTGTAAACTTTCAATTTGCTTCTTCATGGTAATCAGGTTGTTCGCCAGGTTGGAAATGTCTTGTTTTATTTCTTTAAAGTCAATGGAAATGTCTTCTTGTATTTCTTCAAAGTCATCTGAAGTACAATGGACACTGATGTAGACCAAAGAATGAACCGGGTACTAAAGGTAATAGTAATATACATGTTTCTGGACAAGGACCCCCAAATGCTACTCATTTTTTTTCTTTTTCTGGTTCTTCTAGGGTGTGATGTTCTTGGAAAAAAGCCCGATGTTTCGCCAATTCAATTGCGACCGATATGGGAAATGACGTCACAATTCCATGTTGGCGGCGATGACTTTATGCCCATTGTTTGGTCCATATAATAATTTCTATGCATATAGTACTATCGTACTTGTTATAACACAATGCAATCTTAAAATCAGCGAATCGTCAAATGCTACAGATATATAAGTAGGTATCCTGAACGATGATTTCAGGTATAACAGTATCTTGAACGATGATTTCAGGTATAACAGTCAGTGAGAATAGATTCTATATAATTAGATTTACCTTTAGTCACTTCCGCTTCTCTTTGACTTTGAATGTCGAATATATATCTTTGAACAATTCTTCGCATAACTTTCTGAAATCGTAATATAAACAATCATTTTAGATTAAAAACATCAGAAAAGTTAATAAATGGTTACCAGGCGAAGAACATTACTGAGTAATTACTGATTAATTTACTAAGTAATATAATGAACCTTATTTTTAAGTAAAGTAATGAATTATAATCCCTCATAGTAAACAGAACATAGTTAAGCCAGCTGGTCAATAAGTAAGCAGTATTAAATTCTGAGAGTTAATTCTATATATACTACATGCTTTTAAATAAATCTTCATCGAAAGGGTCATTCCACAAAACCACCCACAAACAATATCGATTTCCATCATAAATGATTATAAGTACTATTGTTTTTGTGATATGGGCGAAGCAAGCACAAACATAACAATTATTGTGGCACCCACCACAGCACCAATAATATTCACAAGAGATTACATAGTATAAATACTTGAGCTAAAATAATGTATTTGTCTCTAAGTGTTAATTGTTTGAACAAATCACTTGCCATTGATTTAACTGATTACAATCGTATCATTTACTTGGTACAGACAAACCGTAGCTATGTGACCTCTTCAAAGTAGTACTAGAAAGAGTAAGTCTTCGTGAAACCCTTCACAACTACTAGTACTAGTTATATAGTACTGGTAAATTGATAAAACGCATTCTTGTATTCACATTCAATTTTACGTTTGCATCTCTTCAATCAGCATTCCGTCCAATGACTAATGTATAATAAACATTGCAGAGGCCCAAGTACCCCCGACGGGCTCCAGGTGGTTTACTGCTGTTGGCCATTATCAAGGTGGTTCTTAGACGGCGTTAACAAACCTCCACGGCTTCCTGCAGCAGTCAACATGTCAGACTCTTTATCAAAAACTTTGCTAATGTAGCACGACCTTGACGTACTTTAAACTGTTGTTTACATTGAATTGACCCGGTCGGTGGGGGGTCAATACATTTTTATATAATATGTAGTCATTGGAGAGTCTCCTTTTAAAAATAGTCCAGACATTTGCGAATTTCTATAGTTATGACAGTTATGACACCTGTTTGTATCTAATGGCAGTCAAGTGTTCACACATGGGATTGGTAGTTTCATTTACGATATATTTTAGAATTTTAGAGCAAACTCTGGATGAATGACTGCATCTAGGCTACTTATGACGTTCCGTGCGTTCCCTGGCGGTGGAACAAACCAGTCTAAGCTATTAATGTTCATTTTTCGTAGCGAAAGAGATTTGTCAGTACCCTTGAAATAGTTCTATACAGTATTATTTATTTTGTATACTACGATTGCATTTGCTTGTGAGTCATGTACATTTAGTTGTCACAATTTTATGTATAAACTGGTTAATTTTTATAATCATGTAAAGTCGATGTTCAATTAGGATTGCAGATAAAGACTTGTCCGAATATTGCATGGAGTGCGTATACCCTATTGGGAAAACAACAGAGACTCGTCTTTCTTTAATTTATTGAATTATATAATCCAAATAAATAATCGTGATTGGAAATAGGGAGATTTCATACTTCTTTTAAACTAGATTAAGAAATGGATTTATATCTTTAAATACTGAACCGATTTAGTTAATTTAATTTGAAAGCAAGCATTAGCTATTTAACATAACTTCCCCCTCGACGCCCAGGTATGCAAAAAGAAACCAGAAAACGTTAATATGCCACTTTAATCCCATGAGATATGATAGAGAACAGCTATTTATTGTTACCCTACCCTCCGAAAATAATATTTGACATTTGATAGAGAAAACCTTTTTTCCATATACCCCCTAATACCCACTAGCACCGTCAAGGAAAGTAATAGCCACTTTGATCCCATGTTTTGAATAGCTATTACGATGTCGTGTCGAGTAATTTTTTACGCATATTTTTTTCATACATATTAATCTGAGTCTTAATAGCTTTACTAAGCTATATACCTTCTATTTGATATTATATCAAAGACAAAATAGGTTTAGTAAAGAGAAGAAAAACTACGCTTAATTTCTTCAATATTGGATTTAATCTAGAGACTATTCCGTCAACCATATTTTATATACACTGGTTTACGATTGAAATACCAGGAATAGTTACTAATTTTATTTAAATGGTAATTTAAAGCGGAAGGTGCTCCTTTGTGTTAGTTTATCAAACACAGAAAGATCACGGCAAATTGGCAAAATGGATTTACGTTTCCAGTAAGCAGATTTTGTATTCTGTATGGAATGCAGGTGATGCTTGGGATCATCATGGGGGTCCAACCCAAGATTTGCACGACTCTGACTTTGAATGTTACAGTCATTGTGGCATTGAATTCCAGGGTGGAAACATCAGTTTAATTGTTTTAGTGACCAGAAAACAAATTTTGATATGCGTCGGCTTACCCAAAATGAAAGGTTACGTGCCCTTGGCATGCTACAGATCGGCACAACACAGGCGGTTGTGGCGCGGACGATGAATGTTTCTCAGTCTGTCATAAGCAGGCTATGGTCCAGATACCGTGATACACAATCTGTACAGGACAGACCACGCTCAGGTCGACCAAGGGCGACAACTCAAGCCCAGGATCGATTTATCCGTACCTTGGCCTTGAGAAATCGTGTCATCACAGCAAATCAGATCAGCGCTCGTCTTCAAACAGACACTGGTGTGAGAGTGAGTGGCCAGACGATTCGGAATCGACTGCATAGGGGTCACCTTCGCGCCCGACGTCCTCGCGTGATCCCTTGTTTGAGAGATCATCACATTCAGGCAAGACGTCGTTGGTGTAGGGATCGTCAACACTGGGATAATCGACGCTGGAGCAATGTGATGTTTTCAGATGAGTCAAGGGTCACTGTTGATTTTTTGGACAGACGTAGGAGGGTGTGGCGTCGTCGAAACGAGCGCTTCCAAGACGTTAACGTCATCAGACATGATCGATTTGGGGGTGGTTCTGTTATGGTGTGGGGAGGCATCACTGTTGCTGGAAGAACGGCTTTACATGTTGTTGCAGGGCGTGTTACAGGCCAGTACTACCGGAACAACATCTTGGCAGTCCATGTTGTGCCGTTCGCACGACGTCATGGCCGCCGTTTCATCTTCCAGGATGACAACGCAAGATGTCACAGGGCCAGGATCGTTACAGGTTACCTCCAACAACAGAACATCACCACATTACCTTGGCCAGCACGGATTCCCGACCTCTCCCCCATCGAGCATGTCTGGGACATGCTTGGACAGAGGTTACGTCAACGTCAACAACGTCCTGCCAATGTCCAAGAACTTGCTGTTGCGTTGCAACAGGAATGGGACAATCTGGACCAAAATGACCTTAGACGTCTCATTAGGAGTATGCCACGTCGGATCAATGCTTGTTTGGCAAACAGAGCAGGATTTACCCGTTACTGATCTGGTTGTGATGCTGTGGTAACTTTGCTGTTTGACCCCGGGTATCATTTTACCCTTATAATGGTCAGTCTGTGCCTTACTTAGTCTAACGATCATTTGGAATAAATCGATGAATGTGAACTTCATTTCATTTTGTCATTTGTTTCTTCGTCAGTTTCATTAGGTGACTTTAATAACACTTAAAAATCAAATATCCCCTACTTTTTTTGAATAGTATATTATAGTCAATGACGGATAATTTCAAAAACACCCATATGATAATAATACTTAATACAATTGAAATGTTTATGGAAATTAATGGGATAAGAGTGTTGATGTGCAACCACGAAGACTTGAAGGGAATGTGTCCCTCTAAGAGTGCATCAATTAGAGCAGGAAATGTAAATCAGTAATTGACCACTATAACAGAATTGACAACCTGTCCCTTTACTCTAGGCTTCAGACGATGTCTTTAAGAAGAGGGCAGCGATTTTCATTACAATTTTAAAATAACTCAATATATGTAATAGTGCACGATATTATCAGCATTTCCTCGGGAAAATTAATCTCATCTTTCGACACTCGAAGTTCAGTAAATTTTCTTGGGCCACTGAAAATAGGTTTTCGCTCCCACTGGCATGTTATTTGACAAATCGTTTCTTATTTATGGATTTGGGTATTACATGCGACAACTTGACTTGGTCAAATCCTTAGAGAAGCCTTGACTGCCGAGCCAATGTGATATACGAGCGTATATACGGAAAATTAATCGGGTCTATGAGCCTAGGGGGAATCTGACACTAGATGCTTCTTACTACTACAGTGATGAAATGGGATGACGAAATATAGTTTAAAGGCCACACTTAATGGTCCAGATTCTGTCTATACGGCTCTCTAGTTCTGTATACTCCGCATACCTTAAAACTGAATGCATTCCAGAGAGAGAGAGGGGGGGGGCAGGCCGAACCACGCCCTTTCCATTGGACGCAATACGAATCCAACGTGCCCGTGTGACATTGGTCGCCCCGCCCCCCCCCCACACAACTAGCTAAGGGCCTGGAGAGAGATCAACGTCCACTCGACACTAACTAGGCCATTTCGAGGCGTGTTACATTTTTATTTCAATAAATCGCGTAAGGCTCTTTAGCAGTGGAAGGTAATTAGAGGACGGATTGGACTACTCAAAACGGGAACATATAACTTTCAATGAACGAAATAATATAATAGGTTAAATAATAGTGTTGGTAATCCATTAGACATAACAATCAGTGAGTCAAGGTCAATGGTAATGTATATCTGCCTCCCCCCTCGCTACACAATTTTGGAAAGAAAATAGCTTATACCTTTTTGTCTTCCATCTTTCGCGGACTAAAGAAAATTAATAAGCCTCTAAGTTCACATTTCCTTCAATAGAAATCCGAGAATTATCTATCTTAATTTTACCCCAAATAGTTAAGGTAATAAAGGGCATTCCATTTGTTGTTTTGACCCAAAATGGCCTTTAATATTAATACATTATCCTTAAATCTTAATGCGAAATATATCGGTCCTATTGACCTTTCCCTTGGATATTGTAGCGGTATAATAATTGTCGCCAAACTTTATACTTCGTTTTCTACTTTTCCAGACCAAACAAGATTGTCTTTTTTTGT